TTTTACACGCCATATTGCTTGGGTACAACGTAGCAGACATTGTAGAACAATTTAGGACACGTACTTTTCCATCCTTCAGTTCTGTATTTGCCTTTGTAGATAGCATGTTCATTGTTGATGCACCATCCTGATTTACCTGGAGATTTGTTTTTTCTTTTTGAGGTTGAGGGTTTATTGAAAGACATTTGATTTACATGAGGTTTCTTCTCCCGCCCTCCTGGTGGCTTTCAGTTTTTAGATTTACTTCCTAATATTCTGGCACAGTTTACACTGTTTGGCAAAATAAATAGCTAATTAGGCTTATAGAGAAACAGTTATGAAGAAACAATGCATCTTTACCTCTGTTGGTAATTTTAAGGATATGATTTATTTTTGGTTACTGTCCTTAGAGGCTTTTAGTCTTCAGTCTGCTAACCTCGAATACTGTGTCTTAGGGACAAAGAATGTCTTTGTGTCTTTGGGATTACACATGACCAGGAGCTTGTGGTTCTGTAGGTCGAGATGCTCCCCCATGTTCCCCCCGCCCCGTGTGACTGCACATCCAGAAGCCACTGAGCTTGTACTAAGAGCTCACTGCCGTGCATTTCATGGCAAGCTAGTATCATGCCCAAGCAGCAAGACTTGAGATCTAGAATTTTAGGGCATATCAAACCCTAATGATGATAATGTTATGTAATACAATCATACGATAGTATTTTCTAACCTGTTTTTAGAATGTAGAACTCCTGCTTGTACATGCCCCCCTCTGCCCTGACAAACAGGGCAGATCTGTGTCATAAGGAAAGTTGGAGAGGTAAAGAGGACCTAGAAAAGAAAATGCAGTGAACAGTGACAGAGCTTGGTTTTCTCCCTCTTGGAGTAAAACCTGAAAATGTTTGAAATGCCAGAAACTAGACTGCTAATTCACGTGAAGTTTCTTTTTCTGGCTTCATATTACTAGATAGGCACATTTATGAGATGGCGAAGCAGGGTTAGGTAGGTAGCCAGTGGCGTAGTTTCTCTGAATTTGTTTCCAAGTAAGTGGTATGTTTCCCAAACTTTCATCTTGGTTAGTTCTTGCAGGGCAGAATTCATTCTTGCTTCTGGGATCGCTTGTCCATTTGCTGGGATGGTGGCGGACAGAGCTGAGCTCTAGGCTCAACTAAGAGGGTAGTACTTTGTCCCTTTTTACATCTTTCTAACTTGTGCTTTCCACGGGTATGGTATATTATATCAGCCAGAATCTTGAGCTATTTAAGGGAAAACATTACTGAGGATACTATTACTTAAGGATGCTAGCTTTGAATCGGCTGTTTGTTGATGTAGAGTTTCATGTGTAAGAGTGATTTCTGGGTTATTCCATTATCTTTATGAATATAAGAAAGGAGGCATGGGAATGCCGTTATCCACTTGTCTGTGTGTCAGTGGGCTGTGTGACGTGTGGACTTGAGGAGTCCTATTAGGCACAGGCTTGGCCAGTTAGAAGGCCTGGAGTCTAGTGTGGGACAAGTACCATCACAGAATAAATAGGTAGCAGAGAATAGCAGAGAATAAATAGGTAGCAGTAAGTTTGAGAGAAGGTAAAAGAACAGGATGGCGGGATAGGACCTGGCACTGGGCACAGAAAGACAGAAATGAGAGGGGAAGTAGTTTTGAAGGAAGGCCTAGAGAGGTATCTCTAGGGTATACTGGCTCACATGTTCAAGTAGTGCCCTGCGGTTCCAAATCGGTTCAAAAACCGTGGGAAGGTTGGCCTGGGATAAAGTGATAAGTAGTAGTAATCGTTTGAGAAAAGGCTTTCGTCGACTAGGAGAGTAGAGTCAGATCCCAGGGGAAGACCCATCTTCTCGGAGGGCCGTTAACAGCTGTAGCCCAGGATGACCGGGCAGGGTGATGAAATGGGAAGACCACCTGAATTAAATGTCAGGAGGCATGGGTTCTAGTTTGGGCTCCGACATGGTTTCTGTTCCTCCCTGAGACTCTGTTTTCTTTATTATAAAATGAGGTTTTGAATCAGTTAGCTTTTAAATCCTTCCATCTTTGAATTTCTTTTACTCTGTCTTTTCAGCAAATATAAACACGTAGGTCTAATCCTTGTTAGTGGCATTATTTTGAAAACCTAGGACAGAAACATAGAAATGATGTGCTTTTGGGGCTCCTGGGTGGCTCAGTCAGTTAAGCAGCTGACTCTTGATTTCGGCTCAGGTCATGATCTCCTGGTTTGTGAGAGAGAGTCCCATGTTGGCCTCTGACAGCATGGACCCTACTTAGGATTCTCTCTCTCCCCCTCTTTCTGCCCCTCCCCCACTTATTCTCATTCTCTCTCTCTCTCTCTCTCTCTCTCAAAACAAATAAACATGAAAAAGAAATAATGTGCTTTTTAAAAAAAATGTTTATTTATTTTGGGAGAGAGAGAGTGCACGCATATGCACACACCCCAGGGAGGGGCAGAAAGAGAGAGAGAGAATCTGAAGCGGGCTCTGAGCTGTTAGCACAGAGCCCAACGTGGGGCTCAGTCTCCTGAACTGTGAGATCATAACCTGAGCTGAAGTCAAGAGTTGAACACTTAACCGACTGAGCCACCTAGGCGCCCCTAATGTGCCTTAGTGCGAAGTAACTAGTAGAAGATTTTCAGGATCTGTTGTTTGAACCTCATTTTGGGAGTGTAATAAAAGGAAGAAACCTGTTTGTATAGAATTTGCTAAGATTAGGACTGTATCACATCTCTGGAATGATGTTTTGATTCTTTTTTATTGCACTAAGATGGAAATTTTAAAGTCAGAGTTTTAGGCACCCCTGACTTCTTATCACAGTACCCAAACATCCCTGTGTGACTCACCCTGCTTCTAGCGGCCTGGCTGAAGGTGAGATGCTCCATCACTTGAAAAGTCCTGCACCTCGAAGTTGGTACAGTTGGAATCTCAGTTGTTGGGGAGGGAACCCCAGGGCAGGGTTGTCTTCAGCTACAGCTGAGCCGCTCTGAGGAGTCCTGGGTGTGCGCTGCCTAAGCAGAGACTGTATTCTACAGCGGCAATTGTGGGCCCAGAGAGAGGCGAACTACAACTAGCCTTTGCTATGTTACTTTCATCTTTAGGGGATGAATTTTCTCCCTAATTTGCGTATAGGAAAGTACACATTAAGAACACCAAACCGGGTAGCAGAATTCCGTAGAAAAATAGAACTTTAATAAAACAAGGAATTTTTCCAGAAATCTACATGATTCCTATTTGCTAAGTTTAAAAAAAGTATAAATGTGTAGATTAAGAAGAAAGAACGAACAGCGTACATGTCATCCCCTCTCTCCCCATGTCCTGCTGTTTAGTTCAGTCTAAGAGCCACTGGGTGGGTCTGAGTAAAGCTTTGAAAGCTTAGAAACCAAAAAGAATAGATCGAAAATTTAGCTGCATAACATTAAAAAATGTCTACATAGAACACATTAAACTACCATATTGACTGGGAAAAACTGTTGCAACTCTTATGTTCAAAAGGCCAGTTTTGCGGCGCCTGGGTGGCTCAGTCGGTTAAGCGTCCGACTTCAGCTCAGGTCACGATCTCGCGGTCCGTGAGTTCGAGCCCCGCGTCGGGCTCTGGGCTGACGGCTCAGAGCCTGGAGCCTGCTTCCGATTCTGTGTCTCCCTCTCTCTCTGCCCCTCCCCCGTTCATGCTCTGTCTCTCTCTGTCTCAAAAATAAATAAAGGTTAAAAAAAAAAAATTTTTAAAAAAAGGCCAGTTTTCTTTGTATGTAAACAATATATACAAATAAATGAGAAAAGGAGTAGCAACCCATCAGGAAATGTGTAAAGGAAAGGAACAGACCATTCATAGAGAAGACTTTTAAGCATATGAGAAAATGACTGTTCTCATTAATAAGAAGGCAGTATACTGAGGTAGCGTTTGTCGTCTGTCGCATTGACAGAGATCCAGAGTTAAAGCATCTTTTGAAAAGTCTGTGGGGAAGCAAGCGCTTTCAAAACTTGCTGGTCAGATTCTAAATTAATACTACCTCTGTGGAACACAATTTAGATAGCAAATTTACTAATACATATTACCTTTGACCTGGCAATTTCACTTCTAGGAATTTATCCTGCTAATATGCTCCCACACAAACTGGCAAGTGTATGAAGTTTTTCGCTGTATCATCATTTGTAGCAGCAGAAGAGTGTAGACATCACAGATGCCCATTAATAGGGGACTGGTGAAACAAATCATGGTGTATCTCTACAGTGGAGTATTATGCAACCTTAAGAAAAACTTCGTGGGGAATGAAGTCTCAGGCATATGTTAAGAGGAAAAAAGTAAAGTATAGAGGACTGTGTGTGTAGTGTGCTACTATCTGTGTAAGAGAAGGTAAAGGAGAGTAATGTATTTGCTTGTATGTGCATAAAGCGTACCTGGAAATACACCCTCACTGCACTGGTTGTCTCTAGAGTAAATAGGCAGCTAGAGTTCTAGAGTGTGAGAGAGACCATCTTAGAGAGAAGACCATTTTAGATCCTTCGAATTCTTAACCATGGGGATTTTCCTCTTTTTAATTATTTTTTACGTAATTTGGCAATAAAAAAATGAAAACATCTTTCAATTCAAATGAAGAAAAAAGTATCAAATTTATCCAGTACATTTACAGACCCTACAACATAAACAGCAGAGAATTTTTTCCTTGCCGTGTAGCTGCAGATACCTTAGCTGTCTCTCTGGAATTGGATTATTCACTAAAGCTTCTAACAGTGAGTCATTCTTGGAATGATCTCTGTATGACATTCTTTTAATGTCTTGCTAGTTTATATGTGCTTATGTTAAAACTGTCTGCATTAATATTCAAAACTGAGATTTGTTTGTAGTGGATATTTTATTTATTGGTCATCTTTGACGTGTTTTGATAAGGAATATTATTGAGACTTTTAAAAAGAAATACGAAGATATCTTTATCCCTTTTTCTTCCCCCTTGATCCTCAAGGCAGATAAGCTGAGATGCAGTATTCTCAATATTTTTACATACACTGTAATTGAAGTTTTACCCACAGGAAGAAGAAGGAAATACTTGCAAAGCACAAAAAACTTCCTGGCTGCAAGACTGTGTTTTATCCTTATCTCCGACCAATGATCTTATGGTTATAGCTCGAGAGCAAAAAGCTGTTTTTCTAGTGCGTAAGTACTCTTATTATTTTTAGTGCCTTTTATTTTAATGCATAGAATAGGACGGAAATGGGTTAGCTAGAAAGAAAAAATGTTACTTACATTGTATGCATTATATGGTGGCGTTCTACAGTGTACTTTCATGTTTTGTATAACACTTATTTTCAGTGTTTTTGTACCTCTCTCTTTCCTCCTTTCGATTCTGTTTGTCTCCTCTGCTTTTCTTTCTTGGCTGCAGATACTTTAGCTGTGGTTATGTGGCTCTTCAGAGGCAGAACTGGGCATTGCCCGGTTCTTGCAAGGGGCGGGCAGAGCTAAAGAGGCCGCTGGCCCCTTCTTAGTCATAATGTGAATGGAGGTGATTTTCAACTACATTTTGAAAACTCATAGGACTCTAGTTTCTCACTGTGGGCATAAATTTTCAGTTCATAATTTTTGCTGAAGACTAAAATGAAGGTTGACATAAAATATGGAAAACCTCACTGATCAAAATCAGATCATACATTATTAAACGGCTGTGGAATGGTCTTCAAAGTAGATTTATCCTTCTGTAGCATAAGCCTTTTTCTTTTTTTAATATTTCTTTCTTTTGAGAGTGAGAGAGAGTGGGGGAGGGATGGAGAGAGAAGGAGAGAGAGAATCCTAGGCAGGCTCTGTGATGTCAGTTCAGAGGGCTCCGTCTCACGGTTCGTGAGACCCGGGTAGAAATCAAGAGTTGGATGCTTAACCGATTGAGCCACCCAGGCGGCCCTGTAGCATAAATCTAATAGAAAAGCCTTCTTTGTCATCTGAAGATAAAAGTCATTGCATAAATACAACAGATGGGGTGGTATATAACAATAGTAATTTTCTTCTGCAAGAACTGCGACATCAGATGGATTTAATTGGAGGAGGGGAGAAACTACGGGCCAGGAGACTAGGTTGAGTTTTATAAAAATCTTATAAAATTTTTTAAATATTTACCTATAGAGACCCAAACCCACTAATATAGAACAATTTACATTCTGTACTTATTCTAAAGGGAAACTGTGAAATTTATAAATTACTGTTTTAGTATGCTATAAAGTTATTTTATATGATAATTTTTTCAGCAAAATGGAAATACAGTGATAAAGGAAAGGAAGAAATGCAATTTGCTGCTGGCTGGAGTGGTTCTTTAAATGTCGAAGAAGGGTAGGTACCAGCTAACGTTTTGTTTCTCAGCTTGTTAAATGTATGTATGAAATTATTTGACTTGTAGAGCAAGAAGTTTCATCACTGGAGTATTTAGTGAATGTATATTCATCCCAACTTAGAGGTTGTGGAGCGTGATTTGGTCAGCAAATTTAAATTTTACTCACGTGATTACTTTTTAAAAAAAACTAGTTTGCAGAGGATTTAAAGAGAAGCTCAGAGAGAATCCCATACTTTCTACATTTTGTTGTTTCCTGTGTTCATTACTGATTTTATTCAGCCAAAAAGTCCAGGGCAGTCATTGTTTTCTCTGCTTTGGTAGCATTGGCCTTGTACTTAAAAGGGACAGTGCTACATTAATTCTTAAAACTCATAAGTACTTCAGAAAGGCAAGTATTCACCTCAAGCCGTGTAGTCTAAGAATTTGAAGACATTTAATTTCTGTCAGCAGTGCAAAGCAAACACAGTGGTTCAGTTACTTTAAAGACAACAAACAAAAAGATTTTGTTCAGTGATTGCATAATACGATGTATGGGGCAAGAGTGTTCACAGCTTCTTGAATAAGTTGGTGATGGTCCTGAGGGTTGACACTAAAATCAGTCAGGAGAAAATAAAATAAAATCAGTCAGGAGGAGTATTTTATTTCATTTCATTTCATTTCATTTCATTTCATTTCATTTCATTTCATTTCATTTCATTTCATTTATTAAATGTTTATTTATTTTTGATAGAGAGGGAAAGCGCAAGCTGGGGAGGGGCAGAGAGAGAGGGAGACACAGAATCTGAAGCAGGCTCCAGGCTCCGAGCTGTCAGTGCAGAGCCTGATGTAGGGCTTGAACTCACGAACTGTGAGGTCATGACCTGAGCCGAAGTCGGACGCTTAACTGACTGAGCCATCCACGCGCCCCAAGAAGGAGTTATTTTAATTTGGGGGCTTAGTCTCTGAGCTCCTGAAAGATTTTTCAAGTCCACGTGTCACATTAAAAAAGAATCTTTTAGGGATACTCAACCTAGCATGTTCTTCGAAATGGATTATCAGGGGCAGTTTCTGCAAAATATCAAGGAAGAAGCCAACCAGGTGAAATGCAGTTAATCCCTAGAATAACATAGCCGCCGAAGCGGGGTTTGCCTGTGATGTGACCGACGTGCCTCCCGTGCTGTGCCCCATGTGTAGCTGACGCGGAGGAGAGGGGGCCGGTAGGAAGTGACCGCCCACAATGACCTGCTGTTCCTCAGTTCTGTGTATAATCCTTGCGCGCAGTAAAGTTTTGCTTTCTGTTGTGCTTTTCATGACGGCACAGAGTGAAGAATAGTGTTTTCATTAACCTCAAGTGAATGTGACCTTACCTTTTACGTGAATGATTTTTATGATTCCTTATGTGGAACTTTACTGTATTTTTACTTCTGCAATGAAGAAAGCTGGTTCACAGGGCACAGCTTCCATTGGTTGCCCTTTAACATTGAAGTAGAGGGAAATAAAAGTACTTGCTAAATTCATTAGATAAACATACGATTTTGTTTTTGTTTTTAGAGAGTGTGTAACCAGTGCTCTGTGTATCCCACTAGCAAGCCAAAAGAGGTAAGGATAAAGAAATTATTTGTTTTCTCTGCTTTGCTTTATGAGCAAAATTATAACAAAAATTACAAATTTTGTCTGTGACAGGAGTTCCACCGGGCGTCCTGACTGGACCTGCATCGTGGTGGGCTTTACTTCAGGTTACGTACGCTTCTACACGGAGGTGAGCTGAGTGTTCAGCAGTTAGAAAGCACCGCTCGACGGGAATATCTGGTTAGGTGTCCCCATTATACTCATTTGTGACTCACTGCCTGCTGCTTGGGAATGTGTAGTTGCTACTTCCTGTGGGGGGTGGGTGTGGAAGCAGGGACAGGGGAAGTCATGGTGGAAAGTTCTGGTAGAACCTATCGAGAAGAGAAGCTGTGTTCTTCTGAAAGAGAGTGCCTGATATCCGTGGAAAACTGGTGGGGAAACGACAGTCTCTGCCTGGCCATACATGTTCGGGTCCATTCGTAAGGAAACGAGCAGAGCCCTCCTCTTTGCTTCCTTCTAGAACGGCGTGCTCCTGCTCGCACAGCTTTTGAATGAGGACTCTGTGCTCCAGCTTAAGTGCAGGACCTATGAAATCCCACGGCATCCTGGCGTGACCGAACAGGTAGTGTAGAAGACTGTGTTCAAAGTAACAGTGCCTTTACTTTGAAGTATTTTTTTTGTCTTTTTTGGGAAACTTAAAGGTATCTTGTGGCACAGTTAGCTGTGCTGGCATATTCTGGAAATATAACCTGTTTATAACTGAGTAAAGAATCCCATTCTTGCTTTTGCTTATTTAATGAAATATCCTATGCTTTATTATATAGTAAAATAAAAGACTGTAGTCAGAGAACCTTAAAAGGGTTTCTTATTTTCAGAATTTAATAGTGACTTAAGGTAGACATATGGTATATATCTTTTTTATTTGGATTTAGCTGTCAAAGTTGTACACAACAAAAGAAAAAAGTTCTGACCTATTATTAATACTACTTTATTGTACTACCTATTTCTCAGGGGGTGAAGTTTTTATTTATAGTGGGAAATATATTCACTGAACTGAAGATTTTGATAGAAAATAATATTTCATATCTAAGACTCTCCAAATGTACAGTTTTCACTGCTTCCCAGGTGGTGTGAGAATTTGCCTCAGTCAAAAATTAATTGTAGAGCCATGTAAACTAATACGCTCTTGTTTGACTCACAATGTACATAGTCAAAACTATGTAAATATGCCTTCCTCCTTTTTACTATCCTGCTTCCAAAAGGTTTCACGTGAACAGATGTGTGTATTGTGTACCTCTGTAGACTTAAATTGTATGAGAGGTGGCCTGGAGACTGGAGCTGTAGAAGAAACTTAATCTAGTAAGAGAGACTAGATTAATTCGTATTAATGCCTTTGAGCGAATTAAGCATCAATGCAAAGCAGTACCTAGTGATTTGCCATTTTATGTGGCCAGAATACATTCTGTACAAGTTTGGAGAAAGGGGCGCTCAATTAGAACAAGGACAATAAAAGAAACTTTCATTGAGGAGGTGAGATTTGAATTAAGCTGTGAAGAATGGTTATAGAATCTAATTAGTTAATGGTAAAAGAAGGGAAAGTATTTTAGGTAATCAGGAGAAAAATGAAGGGAGATTCAAATGTAGGACAGTGCATGAGACAACAAAGAAACCTATGATAGAAAATATTGAGAAACTGTCGAATAGGCAGAGTGGCCAGTTTTTTTCATAAATTTGAGGCTAGTTAACTGATTTTTTGAAGTTCTCTGTAATAGACGTGCAGTGTTGGGATGGGACTCTCTAATGGCTGCAAGAAGAGAAAAATGACCAGTACAAAAATCATTTAAAGGAACAATCGACAGGATTTGGTTATTGTCTAGAGATGTAGACGAGTCAAAGGAAAATGAGTGGTCTCTAAGATACCCACGCTGAAGAGTGCCATTGACAAAGTAGGAAGATGGGACTGCTTTGGCAGTGAATAAAGGTTGTTAAGTTTGGTTTTAGATATGTTGAGTTTGAGGCGATGGTAGGAAATAAAATGAAAATACTAGTATGGCTTGCCATACAGAATTTCTATACAGGCGCAAAGACTAGATTGCAGAAGTTGGTTTAAGTCATAGATAATGAATTCTTCCAGGTATAGGACCTAGGAAAATAAAAGTGAAGACTGAAAATTTAAGTCTTCCTAATATTCACCACAAGAAAGTAGAAGAAAATAAACCATTGAAGGAAACAAAGAAGGAGCTCTTGGAAATCTAAGAAGATATTGTGTTCATTGAAGATACTTCTCAAGAGCTGTTCTCTGTTTTTCTATTCTCTAGGTGGTGAAGGTTCTTTGAACATTTTAAGTTGGGTTATGTCTATACTATTTTTTAGAGTTGGTAGAAAAATATAACATTTAAATACTTGCTGTTTGCGAGTCAAGAAAATCTATTGGTTGAAAAATAATTCTTGGGGCGCCTGGGTGGCGCAGTCGGTTAAGCGTCTGACTTCAGCCAGGTCACGATCTCGCGGTCCGTGAGTTCGAGCCCCGCGTCAGGCTCTGGGCTGATGGCTCGGAGCCTGGAGCCTGTTTCCGATTCTGTGTCTCCCCCTCTCTCTGCCCCTCCCCCGTTCATGCTCTGTCTCTCTCTGTCCCAAAATTAAATAAAAAAAAAAAAAAAACGTTGAAAAATAATTCTTACTGAACACGGAGAGAGAAGTCTTTGTTGTTACTCTATATTCTGCATAAGCATCTTTGGATCTGATATATCAGTTCATATATCAAAAGTACATATTCGCTTCTTCTTGTATTCCCAGATCTATTAAGGATCACAGAGCACATTCCCTCTGATTCAATTCTCTGGGGTCAATGAGTGTAGTGGAAGTGACAGCAGGTCATTGTAGGAGAAGATTCCAAAGAGAGAAGATCTCTTTCTTGAATGTCAAAGGAACTCCTTCTGGGTCTTCTGCACAAAGATCTCTGTCATCCGGCATAATTTCTGTAGCTTTTGGACCATTGGTATTTGTATTAGTATCTCCTTCAGGAGGACTGTCTGGATTTGGAGATAACTGACTTGCTCCTCCAAGGCAGTGACAAGGCTCTTTCCCCACTGTTGTGCTCAGTGGGCCGTGCAGCCTAGCCTTGTGCATCTGTCATATGAGCACCCATGCCTGCTCCCTTCCTCTGGCTCCTATCCCTCGTGGCCCATAAATCTCTTTTAAAAATGGAAACAGTCTACTGGTCCAGTAGAAAAGAGGGCAAGGCAGTTCTGAAAAGGAGAAATAAAATTTGTCGGAAAGCACATAACATTTTGAATCTAAATAATAATCTAAGAACTATAAGCAACTACATTTGGATAATTTTTCACCTTTTATATTGACAAGGATCAAGATTTACAAAACTGTTGGTTACAGTATGGAGAAACACACTCATGTATTGGTGGAAACGTAAATTGACAGGTACTTTCTTGAGGGCAGTTTAATAATATGAATGAAAATTGAGAATACTATACACTCCAACAGACCCAGTTGAAGGAACTTATACTAAAGTAATGTGAAAAGATCTACACAGAAGAATTTTTATTGCAGTGGTGTTTATAATGAAAATGTATTAATTCATTCATAAATATTTATTTACTGCCTATTTTATTCCCCGTCCAGTTCTAATCACTGAGAATCCTTGGTAAAGCAGACACACAGAGATCCTCCTTTCCTGGAGCTTATGGTCTGGGGATGGCGAAGGGAGACCAGCAATAAACAACTAGAGATACAAAGATGGTTCCAGTGTCTGACAGGTACTAGGAAGGAAGTAATCATGTTGATGAGGTGGTAAGGAGGCAGGAGAATGGAGGTGCCTGCTTGACCTCTAGGGGCTCTAGAGCAGCCTCTGAGCAATTGCGTTTGAGCTGAGAACTGATTGATCAGAAGAATTAGGCAGGTGATGACCTGGGAGGTAAGGTCTAAGCCTGTTCAAAGCACTGAGATGATAATGGCCTTTGTTCAGGGAGCAAGGGGAGAGAGAGGTGAGATGATAGACAGGTGCCCGTCCTCCAGGCCTGGTTAAGGAGGCAGGCTGTATCCCAGAGTGCAGAAGGAAGCTGTTGGAAGGCCTCAGTCAGGAGAGTGGTTTCTAGGTCTCCCAAACAAAATTTCTATCACTAAGAACTAGTTAACTAAATTTTGATACATATGCTACCTACTGCTTTAGCCACAATAAAAAATGATTTGCTCGCTTACTGGAGTGGAAAAACATCATTGACATATTGAGTAATAAAAAACATGTTATACTGTATATAGTATAACCTCATCCAAAGCGTATAAGGATGTGTATTGAGACATGTCTGGGATATCAGGTGAGTTTCTTTTTTTTTTCCTTCTTCTTCTTTTATATATTGTTGTATTTGCACAATGACTATACTTCAGTTTAATGCAATGTGTACATTTTTTGGTTAATCTCACCACCTACCCTGAATGCATTATACGTCATTTACAAAAGCTCATGTTTGAGAAGAATTGTAGGTCCTTGGCCAAAAGGCATTCTGAATTTAATTTTCCATTTATTTTTACTTTTCTTCTCTTGATGGTGTTTTGTGTGTTGGGTGGTTGACACTTAACTTAGTCATAGTATTTTCTATTTTTCATTAATCCTGACATTCAACTATAATACAAGAAGTAGACATGCTTATTTGGCAATGATGAGATGTATTATTTTCTTATTTCTTTAATAGAATGAAGAGTTGAGTATCTTATATCCAGCTGCCATTGTGACTATTGATGGATTTAGCCTTTTTCAGTCTCTTCGTGCTTGTCGAAATCAGGTAGCAAAAGGTAATTTTTGGCACGCCGTATCTGACTTCTAACTTCTCATTTAATTTAACCCATTTAGAGAATTAAGTATGTCCTCTAAATTAAAAAAAATTTTTTTTTCTACTTTTATTTATTTTTGGGACAGAGCGAGACAGAGCATGAACGGGGGAGGGGCAGAGAGAGAGGGAGACACGGAATCGGAAACAGGCTCCAGGCTCTGAGCCATCAGCCCAGAGCCTGACGCAGGGCTCGAACTCACGGACCGCGAGATCGCGACCTGGCTGAAGTCGGACGCTTAACCGACTGCGCCACCCAGGCGCCCCAATATGTCCTCTAAATTAAAAAGGCCGCCTGTACTAGATTTACAACAAAGAGCCTGTGACTGTAAAAATGGGAGTGCATTGTTGGGTAGATGGCTCAGTAAGATAAAGGCAAGGACTGGTAATCAACGCTATGTATTGGGGTGAGAAATTTCATTGCATCTAGCCGAGGAACCAAGTTCTCACTATTTCAGCAGCTGTTGGGCTGGTTACTAGAATCTTGTGATTCTGCATTGCTTCCATTCTCACCAAGGGTAAGGATACCACTGTGTGCAGGGGGGATTTTATTCCCCACCCCGCCCCACCCACCCGTGGGCAAGGCCCAACAGGGAGTCCACATTGGCTTCTCTTTGCTAACCCGGAAAGCTTCTGAATGGAGAAGTTAAATGCCTGAACGATGTGTATATGGGCAACTACATTATTTCCAGACTTGGGGGTGAAAAGTGCACAAACAATCAAGAGTTCTTTCTCGTACTGCTCAGTTTACATCCTTGGGAAGAGGATGAAGAGCAGAGTTGTGTCCATCAAATTCAAGATGTCATTGTTTATAGATGCAGTAGTACCTGCAAAAATGCCGCCAGCGAGAAACATACCGTCAATTTTAAGACCCCCACTTTTAGAAAAGCCTTAAACTCAGTGAAAACACCAGTGCTAGACTTCCTCCTTTTCTTCTGGGCTTGGGTAGTGGGGCTTATAATGGCCCTTAAAACCAAGTTTGTCTTGTTTGCAGGTTGATGGATTGGTGAAATCAGGAGGTTTTGGTTATGTACGTCTTTAATGGTACCTGCTTTCCTATTCAGTCAGAACTTGTTGGAATTTTTATGGCTATTTTCATAATCTTTTAAATTATTTAAGTTTAGGCATAATAAGCATCATTATCTTGGGGTCATTTAAAATAGTCATTAGTATATATACCTAAAGAGACTGGCAGTTTTCTGCAGGTAAGAATTCAGTCGGTGAAATAAACTAGAAATAGATGATTATTGGTATTGTCAGCCATTTAATTTTTATTGTTGAGTTCCTGTTTATCTTTTGTGTTTAAGACCATAAAGCCATTGGTCTCCTAGGAAGTAAGAAAGCCACTAAGTGCCCACCTAAAGTAAGCTGCTCTGAAAAGAATTCTGACAAATTGTTGTGTCTTTTTATTTCGGCATGTAGGAAAATTCTCTTTTGTTGGCCTTACTATCAAAATCTGAAGTGCTTAGAGGAATCTGTTTTTCCCTTATTAAAGTACTTCACTTCCCAGAATAAACAACCAGAATCCAGCTGTATTCTAATATGTAGCAAGAAACTTTACTGATAAATAGGACCTTGTGCCTAAACCTATGGCAAGAGGTGTAACTATTGCTTTTCTGTTCATTACTCGCTCACTAGGTGGAAATACTGAGCAGATACAGGCATTTTATTCTTTCTGGTGATGCTATTGCTGGTTACATATCTTTCTATCAAGACTGGCCTAGGCTGTTGTCTTCGAGGCCTTGCTATATGTGTGCTCTTACAGGCATGTCATTGAGTTTTTAATTTTTCACCAAGTTAAGGCACTGGTTGCCATTCTCAGGATTTTATCCACTATTTCTCAGCAGGGAGAGATTGTTTCTTTGTCTTCAATTGCAGTTTGAATTCGCCTTAAAGTTTAGTAATAGTCTAGAGTTTTTAATAGCCTCTTCCAATTACCTGAATGTTCCAAAATCTCTTGTGACGGTCAACTTGCTCTTTTAATGTTTGCGTTTTACATATACTGTCTTGGCATGAATAAAGTTCACTTCAGCCTTGTTTATGTTGCCTTGCCTCATTATTATTATTGAAATTTTAAAGTAATCAAGTTATTATATTTTTAAAGGTTTTTTTGTAAAACTTCGCTTCATCCATTATAGTTAAGTTTGGATTGTTTAATTTTTGTCTTTAACAGCTGCGGCATCAGGCAATGAGAACATACAGCCACCACCGTTAGCTTATAAAAAATGGGGTCTACAAGATATCGACACTATTATTGATCATGCTAGTATTGGTAAGCATTACTCATTCAAATTCTTATGGAATTTACTTCTTTTGCTTTTTAATTGATATATCTCATTTATTAGAAATATCCATTTATTCTTAGGCGAAAGGAAATGCATTGTCTTTAGTGCGACATTTGGAAGTTACTCCAGACTTACGGATCGTTGTAGGTTTATAAGTTTAAGAAGTGATGGCAGTTTTAATAAATAATTACATCTTCAGCAGCAGTATTGTTCAGCTTTAGGTCTTTCACTATTTGACTTCATTTTTTTTTTTTGCAGACAAGTTTAATTCATATAATCACCATATAGCTCAGTCTTCTAAAACTGTAACCTTTAGACCAGCAGAGTATAGGTAAAAGCAGATTTCTCCTTGCGAGCATAATTGAAGACTCACTGTGTTAGGCACTGGGAACACAGACGAAAAAGACAGAGGTGAGAAGGCTTGGTGTCATCAGGGAAGCGTGAGGCTAGCTGGAAGAACCATGTGGAAACAGCTGCAGTCCCCAAGTGCGCCAGCTGGGGCGGGAGGCGGAGGAGAACCCCTGGCGCTGAGGGAGGTAGGGAGCAGTGGCGGACTTCAGTCTGAAATTGGAAGAATGAGTGGGACTTGATCAGAAGCAGCAGCACAGAGGCGGCATCCTAGCCAACGTGTGCTAGGCGTGAGGGGGGAAGTGCACCGCGTGCTGTAAAAAGAATGGGTACAAGGAGAACTGGCAGGCAGACATGTAAATAGGAGTCAGATTTCGAAGAGCCTAGTGTGCTATGCGGAGGAATTTAGGTCTTCCTCCCAGCAACACTGAGAGCCACTGGAGAATTCTGAGCAAAACAATGGTATTATCACTTAGCCTGTTAGAAGAATCACTTTGGTAGTTCTTAGTGACTGTAATGTGGGGGTCAAGGCTAGAAACTAGGTGCAAGAAGGATACTTCTTGGTAAGAAGTAATGAGTTTCTGAATTAAGGTAGTAGAAATGGAGTGGAGGAGAATATACTATTTAAAAAATGTGTATTGTTTTCTGTTTACCAACATGTTATATGCTTGTTAAATTCAAATAGTATATAAGTATATAAAGAGGAAAAGAAAAAATATCCCCTTAAACCCTATACCATCCAGAGATACTCACCATTGGCATTTTGGTAAACATCCTTATATACTTGTGTGTGAAATGCATGTGTAATATGTATATGGTGATAGAAATAGGTTTTCATAAATAGGGTTACATCATACCAACCATATTACAGCCCTTTTCTAATCAACATATTGTAAAGAGCCTTTCAATCAATTTTGCTAAATACACATTTTATCGGGGTCGTGATAGAAAACAGATGGCACCCCTGAAATAGGACAGCTGAAACGTGTTTTATTTACAGAGGAACTATTTGGAAAGATGTGGTGCAGGAGAACCACAAGGGATGGTACAGCATCTCGGGGCTTCGTAGCAGCCCAGCTGTTAGCCACTGCTAGGCCACAGGGGGCGAGGGCCTGGAAAGTTCCAGAACTTGGAGGTAGTGAGTAGAATCAGCATCTTACGAGCAGGATGGCTTTTTTTTCACGTGTCACAGGGAAGTAGGTGTCCTGACTTCACTTTCCTTTCTGTCTTTGATGTCCTGATGAGGCTTCCCGTTGTCTGAAGCCAGGTGGATGTCAGCCTAATCTACACACACTGTGCCCTGGGAGTGGGCGGGGAGAGAAGGCAGGAGTGTGAGTCTGCAGGGTCAGACGGAAGATCCCTGACACACGCATCCCATGGCTTGTTGCTGCGTCCTTCTCATGAGGAGTACTCTGCAATGAAGCACTTTCTTGTAGACATTCAGTGTGTCTTTACTGTTTTGCTAATAACATAAACATGCTGCAAAATTCCAAAGTGTTGAGTTCGGTTCAGGGTGGCTTCCCTGTTCTGTTAATTGAACTTTGGAACATTGAAACGGGCTAGGAAAAATGATTGGATAGAAAATATTATTCTATTCATTTATCTCCCAGCCTACAAAACGATGGGAAAATAAAAAAGGTACAACGGACTTTATTTTGCATGTACATCTTTATGTTGAAGTTCTGATGAATTCATCCAACAAATAAGTGAACACCTGGTATGTCCTAGGTGCTAATATTGGAGCTAGAAATAGAAGGCAGACGGAACCCCGTCCTGATGAAGCTTACATTCTGTGATAGGGAGATACACGATGGACAGTTAAGCCAAATGAATAAATATGGTCATATCACAATGTTAGCCTGCATCATGAGGAAAATACGCAGAGGGTTATGATGGAGAGTGAAAGGAAGAGGCCACTTCAGGTAGACTGGTGAAGATAAGGCTCTCCAGAGAAGTGACGTTCAGATGGGACATCGTGGGGGAAGAGCAGCCAGCTATGTGAAGGGGTATAGGAAGAGCATTCCAGGCAGAGGAAGCAGCAAAGAGATAGGCCTGTGGGGCCTCCAAGTCCTGAGCAACGGGAAGGAGGTCCCTGTGACTCGATTGTAGAGTAAGGGGAGGGGCGCCTGGGTGGCTCATTCTGTTAAGCGTCTGACTCTTGATTTTGACGCAGGTCGTCATCTCGTGGTTGTGCGATCGAGCCCCATATGGACTCTGTTGGGCTCTGTGCCGGGCATGGAACCTGCTTACTGTTCTCATTCTTTCTCTCTTTGTATTAAAAAAAAAGGTGGGGGGGGGAACAGGACAAGGTAGGGTTGGAGATGGAGATTGGGGACAGATCACATAGGGTAAGGAGGTTGGATTCTCTCTAAATACAGGGGATGTCACTGATGGTGTCTAGCTACGGGGCATTTAAAATTATCCTGACTGCTGCTTAGAGGCTTGTGAAATAAGTAAAAGCAGGGAGACCAGTAAGGAGTTTGTTGCAATAAGGGAGAATGGCGGCCTTGCCTGGAGAGGAAGCCGTGGAGCTGGAGAGGGTGGACAGATTGAGATATTTTTGTAACTGGTAAGGGGTGGATTTGAGAAATGAGAGAAAGGAAGGACTCCGGGATATCTGATTTTTTTTAATTTGAGCACGTTGAGTGGATGATCTGTTTACTGAAGTGAGAAATATGGAGAAGAGGTTCGAGGTAGACAGATCAAGAGTTAGGTTTCTTACAGGTTAACTTCTGACACAATTACACATTCAAATGGAGGTGTCAAGTAGGCAGGTAGATATACATCTGAAGTTTAGGGAAGAAGTCCAAGTTATTGACATAAATTTGAGAGGGAGTGGTTGACTGTGGGATGCTTCATAGAATTCAGGAAGGGAAAAGGTCCATCAGATTTGGCAACGTAGAGCTCTTTGAGTCTGATGTGAGCACTTTAGGTGGAGCAGTGAGGAGGAAAGCCAGATTGGGGTAGGTTGAAGAAGAAACTTTTCCACCTCTATTTTCAGAAATTAGAAACACAAGAGCCAAGAAACTGGATCACAGCATCTCCATTTTTTATGTTCAGTCTTGACCTCTTCCTTAAAATTCATTTCTATAAAATTCATTTTCCACCAGGGTATCCAGACTTAACATATCCAAATTGGAATTTTTTATTTCCTCCCCCAAACTTGTTTCTCCTTTTTTCTTATCATCTCTTCTGTTGCTCACACCCAAGATTCTGAGTCATCCTTGACCCCTCCTTCTCTCAGGTTTTTCATCCAGCAGTTACCCCCCCACCCCCGCTTCTTCCTGCACAGCAGACCCTTTCTGACCACCGCTCATCTCCATCATTGTGAGCACCGTGGTCTAAGCCACCATCATCTCCTGCCTGAATGATTGAGGAAAAAACCATTCTAACTGGTCTTTCTGCTTCCTTTCTTCCCTCTCTAAAATCCGTTTGCCGGTTAGCAGCTAATAGCCTTTTGAAATGTAAGTCATGTTTTTGTCACTCTTCTGTGCAAAATGTTATTTTTATAGTGGCTTCCTGTCTTATTCCTAATAAAATCCAAAGGCCTTATAGTGGCATACAAGGCCTGACATTGCCTGGTTTATGGTGTGTCTTTTACCTTATCTTCTTTAGTACCTCCCCCCCCC